CATAGAGCCTTCATCCAGTAGCTGATGGAAGCAGAAGCAGAGATTCACAGCTAAGCACTGAGCTGAACTCCTTGAATCCAGTTGTAGAGATGGAGGAGTGATGAGCAAAGGGGTCAAGACCATGCTGGAGAAACCAAAAAAAAAACAGCTGACATGAGCAAGTGGGAGCTCATGGACTCAAGTCTGACAGCTGGAGTACAGCATAAGACTGAACCAGGCCCCCTGAACATGGGTGTCTGTTGAGAGGCTTGGGCAGTCTATGTGGCCTCTGGCAATGGAAACAGTATTTAACCCTAGTGCATGAACGGGCTTTTGGGGCCCATTCCCCTATGGAGGTATATTCTCTCAGCCTGGATACAGGGAGGAGGTTCTTGTTCCTACTGGAAATGATGTGGCAGACTTTGATGATCCCCATGGGAGGCCTCACTCTCCCTGTGGATCCAGGGGGTAGGATGGGGCGATGGTGGGGAGAATGGGAGGACAGGAAGGAGAGGGAACTGGGATTGGTATGTAAAATAAGACTGTTTTTAATTTAAATAAAACAATTAATTAAAAATAGGAAAAGAACCACCAAGAGTGTTTTGCAAAGAACAAATGGAGTTTCTCCTACAAGATCCATGATTTCACTAGTCCTGAGTTGTCTAGGTTGTCAGTACCAGACACGGTTTTTCTCATATTGAATGGTTCATAAATCTAATTATAGAGCTATTGACTGTCGCCAAGTGCTACTAACTGAGCAGGTTATACTTGGGAGAATATATGTATATATGTCTATGCATATATGCATAGAAGAGTGATGAAAAAGAGGCCATAAATATGAAAAAGAGCAAGCAGTTAGGTTTGGCAGGACTAAGTAGAGGGGATAAATGATATAATTATATAAGTTCAAAAACAAACGAATATAAAATATTTTCAAAGAAAACACACATGCATGTGAGCATGCAAATACACGCGTGCGCGTGCGTGAACACACACACACACACACACACACACACACACAATTTTTATAATTGAAGAAAAAACCCTACACACGTCTATGCTTTCACTTCTAGTGGCTATCTAATAGATAATCCTCCTTATTCTGCCAGTCCTAATTTCAAACATAGATAGTGATATAGAGGGATTATCAGGCTTTCCGTGTTCCTGGTCATTTACTTTGAGCTCCAAACTACCCTGGTTTGAGGGTTTCATGCCAGCTTTAAAAAATGTTTCTATTCTTTTTCAAGGTGCTTTTTTTCTTTTATTTGAATTAGAAACAAGATTGTTTTACATATCAATCCCAGTTCCCACTCCCTCCCCTTCTTCCTAGCCCCTCCCCCCTCAAGTAAAACCCTACCTATCACATATCCTTTCTGCTCCCCAGGGAGGGTGAGGCCTTCCATGGGGGGTCATCAGAGTCTATCTTATCCTTTGGGATAGGGCCTGGCCCACCCCCGTGTTTCTTGGCTCAGGGATTGAGCCAAGAAATTTCACCACAATCCCTGTACGTGGATTGGGCTCCTAAAGTCCACACCTATGCTAGGTCATGGGACCGATCAAGGGCCTTTATTAATGAGTTTCTAGACATGTCCACTTGTTAAGTCCAGGTCTGAGAATGACCTCTAGAACATACAGATTCTTATGCAAGCAGACCTTTAGGGACTATGAGTTTTGAGCCACCATGTGCTTTCAAATGTTGATGAACTAAGAACAGAGTAGTGTTTTATTCTTCATGTTAATTTTCATTCCACGTTTTCTCACACAAGGTGGCTTTTTCTAAATATAACATTATAAAATAAAGAAAATGTACCTTTTCATTGTAACATCTTGAATTGAAAAACTTTCCTGTGATCTCTAAAGAAAAAGGCAAGATCTTTCAAAGCATCTTTACATTTAAAAAAATGAAAGCGACAGCTTCTCAGTGAAAGGGGAGAAGAATAAAATGACATCAACAGCAGAGTAAGGTTCCCGATCCTCCAGAATCATAATTCTTTTCAATGTAATTTCTAGTGATTGGCACTTCAAAATGAAAGAAACTGACTTTTACTCGTGCTGAGCTGGGAAAGAAAGGTGTTGTGTAAGGAGTGACTGCTCTGGGGGATTCAAGTCATGTTGGTAGCTAGATAACACACTCACCTGACTTGCACCCCAGCACACTAGGAAGTGGAGAGCCCATGAGACAAAAAGCAGACCTGCAGTCCTCCAAGGACAAAAATGTTAAGTTCTGCCATATATACAACCAAAAGAAAAGGCCACTTAAAGAAAGAGCAACAACAATGTATCTAAAGTGAAGAGCCTGGCATGTACCTAATGTAACTACTATTCAGAAAAACTACTAAATGGTCTGTTCCACACACCAACTACACAGATGGTAATTAGAAAAAAAAATTTGAGAAAAACCTTATGCATTGCTCTTTAAAAATTCCACCAGTGGTGGGGCATGACTTAATTTCAGCACTTGAGAGGTAGAGGCAAGAGGGTTTCAGTGAGTTTGAGGCCAACCTGGTCAACAGAGTGATTTCCTGGACAGCCAGGGATCCAGGGTTGTTACACAAAGAAACCCTGTCTAAAAAAAAGTCAACCAGAATACCAAGATACAGTGTTTAGCAAGGATATTTGAACACAGAAGGAAACAAATCAGCACAAAGAACCAATGAAGAGAAACAAATACACTGTAGGATAATGGTTTTGTATCCAAGATACTTTGCTTACAACCTATGAATAACAGACTACATCTAAGAAACATCATGTTCGTGGATTGTTCCAGACATAAATTGAAGTGTTAGCCCTTTAACAGAAGCACCTCACATTCCACAGAGCCCCAAAATCATATGTCTCTGATAATAAGAGATGGGACACAATAGGTTTGATTTTCCTATGCATGGAAAGAATGATGGTTTTATAAAGTGAAAAAAAATGAACTTTTAATATGAGACTTCTCCAAGAATTATAGATTGTCAAACAAAAAATATAGACCATGTATTGGAGGCATAAAAATTAATTTTAAAAGGTAAACCATGAAGAGGGCTAATAGAAAATTAACATCACAACTTAATGTGATAATCATGGGAGATAAGAAAGAATATGTTTGAAAAATAAACAAAATATATAAGCAAATAATCGATATTATTCATAAATGCAGAATTATATTATTATGCTATGTTGAGATAGAATGCAGAGCTGAAGGAGCTAGAAGATGAGGAAGGAGATAGTTTCCAGAAATTAGGAGGAGGAATGAAATGGTGAGAATACATAAAATTAATTTTTAAAAATCTATTTTATTCTCCAAATAATGATAGCCATCTTATAGGATTCCAAGTTTCAACCAAAATAACAAAATAGAGTGAATAGATTCACTAATCAAACAACCAAATAGTTGGTTGGAAACACTCAAGCCAGCCTGAACAAAATAAGTAAAAATAGACTCAAACCTAGATAAATGCTAGTGACATTTAAGAACCGCATAGATGTTAGAATTGTTAATATTTTCAAAGAGCAGAGTGTGTCATGGGCAAAGAAAAGAATCAAAGATCAGAGACATCAAGACTCAGTTTGGCAGGGAAATGTTTAAAGGGACCAAGCAACTTGTGCTTGTCATGACAGAACAGTGACATTAATTCCAGAACTTTACAAATAAACACCTGAGTATTTAACTGAGGGAGAAAAATCATTGACTTTGGACATGCTTTACCTCAAAGTCCATTAGAATTAAGCTTTCTGAATAATTGTCATGTTACAACAGAGGTAACACAATAAGAAATGTATTGGTTAGTGAACGATTAGCTATTCCTGAAGTAGGACATAGCCAGTTAATATTTCCTAATAATTTCTGAAAGTCAAGTGTCTTTAAATTGTCTAATGGGCATTTAGTAGTTTAACAGTTATTCTAGTAACTTGTAATAGTAACATTTATAGTAATAGTTGTCCCACAGTCTCTGATCTTTGTACCTTTTCAAGGTATAACAATAAGCCCCTTATCTCATGTAGCATATCTTGAGTCATGTCATATATGGATTGTAGCTCTTCCTCTTTGGAGATGACTAACAGACTGTCATCCATATACTGAATAATATAAGCCCCAGGGAAAGGCTGACTCATAGGCCCTAAAACCTTTCCTACATAGCATTGACATATAGTAGGGGAGTTTGTCATGCCTTGAGGTAACACAGTACATTGATATCAGAGCTGAGATGCTTTACAATTGAATGAGGAAACAGAAAAGACAAAATGTACCTCATTATTATAGTATAAAAGCAATATTTTAAATCCAAAACTATTAAAGGCCAATTTTTAGGAATAACTGTGTGTGTAGGTAAACTAGGCTGCAAAATTCCCATTGGCCACATTGTGGCATTAGCATTCTGTAAGTCAACCAACATTCTCCATTTACCAGATTTCTTGTTAATTACAAAACCAGAGGAACTCCAGGGAGAAAAAAAAGGGTTTCATGTGCTCATTCTCCTACTGTTCTCTGAGAAACTGGCAAAGTTTCTGGAGCTTTGCTTTAGTGTCCAGACAGGCTCACTAGGCTTCCATGTAATTTTTATATATGGCATTTTTCAATGGTTCCTATGAAAAGCCCAATCCATGTTTATGATTTTGTCCTTGTGGAAATATAGGTTCAATAATCCTTTGCAACTCTTTACCTAGTCCTTTTCCATTTTGATAGCTCATCTTTTACATCAGCCATTGCACTTGTGAAGAATAAGTAACATTATCGGTGGGAATATGGACATCTGCATTAGTTTGTAGAAAGTCTCTTCCTCAAATATGAGTAACATAAGGCTGTAGGATGGTCATTATGTCTTCTGTATTTATGCAGTATAACTTTGTAGTACTTTGCTTAGTCTCCCGAGAGCTCATAGTTCCCAAACCTATTAGGGTTGAATTTATAATGGCCATTCAGAGGGCCATTATTCTATGGTTATAATAAAGACTTCAGCCTCAGAATAAATTAATCCTATAAAAATTTCCTTTTATTTTGAAATCCAACAATGGTTTATCAGTTTCCTTCAATAAAGTACTTGAAGCTACAGTTTTATCTGCACTACCAAATGCTCCCTCATGAAGTGCATTTTTCTGTGAAGGAGCTACATTGGGCAATACACATAACTGGGCATTTTTCTCTAGTTTTAAATTGACAACCAGTGGGCACTGTGATCGTGACCATATTTTCCCCTGTATAGTCTTCATCAATGACTCCTGTATGAACTATAAAAGTCCAACTGATCCATGGAATATAGGTCCCGGATATACTTTGTGCAACTTAAAAGGACATTGTAGATGAGAAATGGCAATGTCTTTAGAACAAGGAATATCAATAGCAGCACTCCCTTGAGTAGCAGCTTACAGGGAAGGAGTAGGTCAATTCCAATCTGAAGCTGGCACAGATGTTATTGTCTTGGATTTACACCCTCTAATTTAATAGGTCCTGAGGGGACCACTCAATCTATTTCCCTATTATTGGATAATATTGTTATTGTTACTAGACAATGTGTTGCTGACCTTACCATATTTAGATCTTCCTTCCTTAGCCCAATGTTTCTCTTTCTTGCATTTAGTGCAAAAGCCAGAAGCTCATTGATTCTGAGCATCCATTTGTCCTAAGAGTAGCTTACTTTGTTTCTTTAAGAGACCAGGCAAGCCACAATTGAAACATTTTGCTAACTTCTGTGTTTGAGTTGTATAGGCTTCTAAAGCGGCTAATTTTCTTCTGTTTTTAGGATCCCACATTTCTACATAACTTCAGAAAGTCCATAATATTTCCTAAATTCCTCTGAGATTTAGTTATTCCTTGGCAACCATCACCAGCATTATCAAAAGTCAGGTGTCTTAATACTCACTCTTGATTTTGTTCCCTTTTTATGTGTTTCTCAAGAACAGATTTGGATCTCCCTATGAAATCAGCATAAAGTTCAAAAGGACTTTGCATAATTTTTATATAACTACACCCAAAATTAGATCACATATTAATTTTTATTCAAAAGGCCATAGCTCTGTCCCTAACATGTGGGAGCACTGCAGGAGGTATATTACACAATGACAATACCAGTCCCTGTCAGCATTTCATACATGAAATTTCCAGGATTACCCCTTAGTCCTAGTTGCCAAACTTTTTCATGGCTCTCATCTGCAAACCAAATTTGCCACTGGTGAACCTGGGAAGGGTTAAGAACCATTTTAGCAATTATATGAAAGTCATATGGTAACCATTGTGCAGTACTGCTCCAACCAAAAAGATACTCATAACAATATGGAGCGGTACATCCATAGGAATCACAAACCTTTCTAAAATCTTTATCATATCCATGCCTAATCCCTGTTAAACATTGTGATTTTGATGAAATTGCACTGGAAATACCAGGAGAAGCCCATGAGGAATTTGTAAATGAATTCTGTTCTCCTGTCCTGCCCTAGCCTTGGTTGTAATTTTAACTTTTTTCATAGACTCTTCTTAATCCTCATTAAAAAAATGGAGAGAATTCAAGATTAGATGGGTTATCTAATTCTTTACTCTATGCTTCAGGGTGACCTTCAGAAATTGGAGAATAAATATTTAAAGGAGGCCCATGTAAGGGAGTTGAGGGAGTGGTCGCTGGCAGAGTTATTAGTGCTGCTGTTTTTACTTTTGCTTTGGCCTGCACATGGAAAATTTCCTTTTGTGCCTCTTTTACCAATTTTATGGTTTGATCACCCAGTTTATGTTCATTCAGTAAATTTGCCATCTCTACCTGATGATTAATGACCTCCTTATCTTCATTATGTATTTTGATAATAGCCCAGATTAATAGCCAAGTTACCCAAAACTGAACAAGGATCTTTCCCCTTGTTTATATGAATTTTCAATATTCTTTTGGACTCTGTCTCATATTTCTTCATCTAAAACTGGAAACCAGGGATTATAATCTTAAACAATTTGTAAGCAATCTATTGATTGTGATTTTAATACTTGCGGTCCAAAAAAAAAAAAAAAAAAAAAAAAAAAAAAAAAACGACGGAAAAAAAAAAGATGCACAAGCTGGACATAAAGCAAAGCCTTCCCTGGTTTCTGCCCCATCGTTTGCACTCACCTTCTGTGAGGGTCCCCACGCTGTTATCAAGTATTTGACCAGATTCCTCTTCAGATACCACTTCAGATACCACTTGTCACTGCTCTAGAGGTGGTGGGACATGGAAGAATGGAGACGATAAATGTGGCAGAATAAAGTCTCATGCAGTAGCCAACTTCATCCAGGACATCAATTAATACTCTGAAAGTTAAGAAAGGTCACATGGGAACAGTTCTCTTGAGATTAAGCTATATACAATCAGAAGGGCAAACCGCATGTGCCAAAACCATATTTTTTCCAAAGAGGCATATAAAGGATAGTTTAATATGTAATCAATCAAGTAACAATGCCAAGAAATAATGAATAATCTTAAATAACCCCACTTCTATCCACTACACCTGGGAGGGGCATGAAAACACACCTCAAGAACAATTCTGTGGGTTTTGTTTGTTGTTTCATCTAGTGGTGGTGATGTTTTTTGAGACAGAGTTTCTCTGTGTAACATCCTTGGCTGTCCTGGAACTCACTTTGTACATCAAACTGGCCTCAAACTCACAGAGATCACTTACCTCTGCTTCCCAAGTGCTGGGATTAAAGGCTTGCACCATGCCTGGCTCACAGTTCTGTGTTTTGAAAAAACTGAGGTCTTAAAACTCTTGTCCCGTTTCCTTGGAATTTTCTCATAAGTACTTAGAATTACCCTCACATGATCACATTCCTAAGCAGGGCTCTTGATGGGGAATGCACTTCTTTGTATGTTTATCTTATTGACTGTTGAATAAAATACTGTTTGGCCAATGGCAAGCAAGGACTAGGAGTCAAAGAGGATTCTGGGAAATGTAGTAGAGAAGTGATGATCCAGGCAGGAAGTGACATGGCAAGGAGACTCATATCTAAGCGAGGAAACAGGAAGTATGCCCCTTTTCCCCTTCCTCCTCCAGCGGCAGGATGTGATCCACTGACAAGGAGGGACGCCAATAAGGCGTCCTATAAGATAAGTCTTATAACATATACAGATTTATGATAATTAAGACTGACCTAGCAGATGAGAATCCTAGTCATTGGCCAAGCAGCATTGAACCTAATACAAGTTTCTGTGTATTCATTTGGGCCTAACTTGGGCTCACACGTGGCGATGGGGCTCAGGCGGCTTTGGCAGAAAGATTTATTGTAACAGGCTTTGACAGATATCATAAAGACCATATCCAATGAAAACTTTCAGATCAGCCTATAATCTGAACATATGTGGAAAACTGTAAAGAAAATTTTATGAATAGTACAATGGGTACTTCAGGAGGCAAAGAAATCTACATGCATGCACATTTTTGAATAATTGTTTTTATGTATGTAATTGTGTAAGTGTATGCCAAGTATGTGCAGGTGTTTGTGGAGGCTGGAAAAGGTGTTGAATTCCCCAGAGGTAGAGTTACAGTCAATTATGGGCTGTTAGTGTGGGTGCTGGAAACTGGACCTGAGGGCTCAGTGGGGGTGCTAAGAACTGGAGCTGAGTTTTCAGTGTGGGTTCTGGAAAACAGACATAAGTGATCAATGTGAGAGCTAGGAACTGAATCTGAGCTGTCAGCGTGGGTGCTGGAAACTGCGCCTATCTCCTTTGGAATGCAGGGTGAGCTGTTAAGCTCATGGGCCTTTCTTAGCATAGTTTTTATATGAGTGTGAGTACTTATGGGTACATGTGCCAGAATTTCAGGAGGTTAGCATCTAGGCTCCAGAAATATGTGGTTGCTCAACTCTGCTTTGTATATGACATAGTACTTGTGTAACCTACATATATCTGTCTTTCCCAGACCCATTCTAGATTTTTTTCTAGTAGCTGATTCAATTTAAATGCTGTGTAGATAAACATTATACTGTCTATCTACATGATAGATAGATAGATAGATAGATAGATAGATAGATAGATAGATAGATATCTACATGTCTATAATGACCGAAAAGTTCTTGTTCCATGCAGGTGCACTTTACTTTAGATCTGTTGGTCCAGTGAGTAATACAAAACACAAGGACAAAGAGAGAATACTATGTACAGGTATACCCAGAGTGTAAATATTTACCCAGTATCAAAAGTCTACAGTTATCATTATCCAAGTAGCCATCAAGAATTTCAGTATTAATCTAATTTGAGAGACTAACGGAATCAACTCAAAATTTTCAAAGCAGAAAATTAAAATAAAACATGATTTTCCTCAAGACAAAGTGAATATGATCATTAACAGGTGAAAAATAGCTAGAATGTGGTGTTGTTTCGTAGTCTTTTGCATAGTAGAAAGTTTTATTACTCAGTTTCTCCCTTTCAGATGAAGGAGAAACCAAGCCATGTGACTTCAGTGTTCCTTATGTAGGATTATGTTGAAATGTCTTAGGAAAAGTTCATTCTTCCCTCTTCATCACAGGAAATATGGCAAAAAAGGAAGGAGATAACTCACCTTTTGGTGAGACTTTAGTTTGGTCCTTTTAATACCATCGATGCTAAGTTTCACTGCCTCAAACAATAGAGCACTGATTTGCAGCTGATTAAACAGTCACTTCTAACCATGAACCATGTTTACCTTCCTTAGGGGTAATTATCTCAGAAGCATTGCTCTGCAGCTCATAGAAATACTAATTTTAAAGTGAATGTAATTTCTGAATCAAAGTTGGCTCTTCTGAAGTCTTCAAATGCTAAGATTCTCCCTTCCTAGTGTCAGTAAAGCACACACACATGTGCACACATACACACACACACACACACACACACACACACACACACACGTGCACACAAGTACATGCACACATAAAGATTGTCTTTCTTTATCTTTCTTCCTTTCTTCTGTCTGTTAATCCTTCCTTTCTCTTCCTTCCTTTCTTTCTCTTTTAAAGAGATCCTGTCCCCAATGCACATATTCTTTAAAATGATGTCACACATTTTTCCTCTTGCTTTTCTGGTTTTATAAAGAGAACATAAACTGAGAGCAAATATTTGCAAACGTCCTTTGATAGGGGAAGTGCTTCTGTGTATGTGTTTGTCTTATTGGATGATAAATAAAGTACTGTTTGGCTAATGAGGCATCAAGCTAGGCTAGACTAGGAGTCAAGGAGGATTCTGGGAAATGTAATAAAGAAGTGGTGATCTGCAGGAAGTGACATAGCAGGGAGACTCATATATAAACAAGGGCAAGAAGGAAGTGGGCTCCTTCTCTCTTCCTCCAGAGTCACCATGTGATCCCGGGATGAGGATGCCAATGGAAAGCATCTGATAAGTCTTATAAAATATATAGATTTATGATCATTAATACTGAGTTAACAGATGAGGAATCCTAGTCATTGGCCAAGCAGCATTTGTACCTAATAGAAGTCTCTGTGTATTATTTGGGGCCCTAACGCAGTGAGTGGAACTCAAGTGGGTGGCAGAAAGATTTTTTGTAACAGTCTTTCAAGCGACTGTCAATTTGCAGCAATATTTAAAGTTCTTCTATCATTGTGAATACAATGGCTTATAATGAAAATATCTTACTAGAAATGTGTTTTCAAGTGTATGTATGTTTGTTGAATATACATATGTATGTGTGCAGGCATGTGTGAATGCACATGTGTGCATATGTATGTGTATCTGTGTATGTGTGTGCACATGTGTATGTGTGAATGTGTAGCCTGAATAATAAAAACCCAGAAACAGATACTGTCGTTCAAGCTGAAGATCAGAAAGGCAAAGCAGCCAAGCCACTAGAGAGTTCTTACCTCTACCAAGGCTACAACCAAAATCCTGTCCTCAGAATGATGGCAGACTGCAATGCTCTCCACCCAAAACCTCAGCTTCCCCCTGAGACTGCACTGAACTTCTGCCTTATATTCTCTCTAGGGCTAGGATTAACGGTGTGAGCTCTGTTTCTCTTTTAGACTGATGCACTGTCATGTAACCCAGAGTAGGCTTTAATTTACAGAGATCCATCTGCCTCTGTCTCCTGAGTGTTTGGATTAAAGATGTGGCCACCACTGACTGTGATCTATAGCTAGTCACTGGCTTAGGTATGTGGCTAACTAATGGCTTAGCTCTTAACTAGGTGTGTGGTTAACTGGTGGCTTAGCTCTACATTCTGATCTTCAGGCAAGGCTCATTTGTTAGATCATAAGTAAAATATTACCACAGCTATAGGTCTTGGTACTGAGACAGGCCTTCTGAAATGTCCTCTCAATAAGGAGAAAATAATCCCTTCTACCTCATTTGGGGTAACTTGTGGTGCAAGTTCTTCACTAAGAACTAGAGCTAGAGTAAACCTAAATACATCCTCCTTTCATATGGTAATTTAAATTTCAAGAAATGCCAAAGCTGAAGTTTATATTTTTAGTGTTACCATGGAAACAGGACATTTGGGGTTCAAAGATTCAATAGCCTACAGCTACTGTAGTACTTATATAATGATATAATAAATACTTGCACTAGTGCAGAAAGTAACAAATTTCTGTATAGTTTAAAACACACACACACACACACACACACACACACACACACACACACAGAAAAGAGAAACACACACACATACACACACACACACACACACACACATATATATATATATATATATATGTAATATATATATTCACTCTTTGTAATACAACTGGAAAGACAATGTAATTCCTAAAACTGAATGATGATACTTGAGAGAATAATCAAATAACAAAATGTGTGTGGAAAATAACATTTTTAAAAAAGATATAGTGAAAATCATATAAATGAGAACAATGTGTTATTGACATAGGGATAAAAACCCACAAACAGATGAGAATCCAATTCCCATGGGACAAGCTAATGTGGGTTTTTTTTTTCAAGCTGAAACTTTTGGTAATTTATTCCTAAAATAGAGAAAAATAAATTGAATAAATCATGCATAAAATATTTTGTAAATAAATACATTTTATTTACACTGTCACACTCCTTCAAAAGCCCCCATTTGCACAGTTTTGCTAAAGCTATGGGAAAATGCCTTTTCACTCCTGTTGGAAGAGAGTCAGTTGTTCTTTACAGTCCTCAGTTTAATCCAAGGGATGTTGAAAAGAAGTGTTCATACAGTATATGACTCAACAGAGACACTGCTGGGTTTAACTCCAGTCTTGCACAGTGGGAAAATGGATGAATATGATTGATTTAGCTCCTTCTATCTTCATGTGGATGAAAATGTAGCTTAAAGAATGCACACAGGATGCTTACTACTCATGGTCACCCTTTGTGCAAAAACTGATAGCTGCTTGGGAGCTTGAGAGTCTGCCTCTTGGTGTACACCCAGGGTCTCTCTCAGTTGTTCCTGTCAGCCCCTCTCAGCTTTTCCTTCTAGCTCTTCTGCATTCCTTTGTGAATCCCCAGCAACCTGCAGAATACCTCCCTTCTAGGGACTCACAGCCTCCACCCTTGGCCGGGACTCAAATCAGTGCATAGCTCAACCTTCATCAGAGAAATATCTCTAAAGTTGCTCACTTTCTACACACAGAGACCCACAACCTTGCCAAGACAAGGTGGTCCAGTCCTGCAAATTATCCTAGTCCACAGAAATGTCTGTAGATATGCTAGGCCTATAGGCTAAAGATGGATGCCCCAACGTTGCAGAGAAATCTAGGGTGGCTGTCAAGCAGTCAGCTGTTTCTGTCATTTCTCACATTTTTTGGAAGTCACTTGCTTGCACTTCCTGTTTACTCAGTTAATATTATTTCCTTTTTGGGTCTCTGAGGGAGTTGAAGACTAGGAAGTATAGTTATAGGTTTCCTTACTTACCAGAATCAGTAAAGAAATTCACAAGAGATGCATTAAGTGTAATAGGTTTCAAAGATATTAAATGATAATTTGATAATGCAAATCAGAATAGAAAGTACATTGGGTACAAGACTTTGGACTCATCAATAAAGAATAGATAATGGAATATTTTCTCTGAATTTGTCAAATTCTAATGGAATATAATTGTTAATGTAATTACTGCCTGTAAATATTGTATATACTTATTGTACTTATTGTAAATAGCTTTTCTTATAATAGTTATACTTTTTAAAATTTTAGACAAAAAAGGGGGATGTATGGTGATATCTTGCTTGTATAAATAAAGCCTGTCTGAAGGTCAGAAAATGGAGCTTGTCACTAGCTAACTTTAGAGGTCTGGAAGTCTGTAAAAACAGACAGGAAGTGAGGTAGCTGGGCAGAAACAGGATATAAGCAAGGAGAAAGAGGAACTGGCTCTCTTGTCTGCTGAGACTCAAAGGAGATAGGGTGTGGCCATGGCTTGCTCTTTCTCTCTGATCTCTCAGCATCTTCCTCTAGGTCTGAGTCTGGGTTTTTGTTATCTAGACCAATTAAGAACTCCATTTATAGGATAGACAGTGTGCAGAAAATGAGTGACTTTAGAGTAACCAGTCCTACATGGGATGTCTTTATCAAATCCATCCCCTCAGTGTTCAGGGATCTATGAGGAAGAGGCAGAAAGTTAATAAGAATCAGAGGTGGTTAATGATTCCAAGGAAATAATGTCTTCAACATTCAACAGTCCTGATATTCATATGATCTCACAGAGACTGTGATAGCATGCCCTAAACCAGCATGGGTTCAAACCAGACAAATTCCTGGCACAGAGAAGTGAACAGAAACTATTTGCAATTGGTACCTGTTAGGAAAAGGAAAATAAGTTTTCTCCAATGGATTGTCACTGGGTATTTCAACCACACTCCATGGCAGGTTCCATACCCAGGAAGAGTTAACCAACACAAAATGAACAACATATTGTTTTGGGGTTTTAGAAGGGTTCTTGTTGTTTTGTTTTGGTATTTTTTTCTTACCTTTTGTTTTGTTTTGCTTTGCTTCATTTTTTAGGAGAATGAGAACATGAGATTTGGGGGAGGTAAGGAGATGGGAAGGATCTGGGAGGAGTTGGGGAAGGGAAAGAATATGATCAAAATATATAGTTTGATCAAAAAGAAATTATTTTTCTTGATTATTTCCAAAAAAGATTTTGAAAAGATATATCAGATCTCTCCTCAGACCTATACACATGGGGGAGGGCCCTAGGCCTGGCCCAGGATGATGTGGTGGACTTGGGGAGCCCCCATCAAGGGCCCAACCCAGCCTGGGGAGTGGAGGGTGGATGGGGTGAGGGGCAGGTGGGAGGTTGGGAGGAGGGTTGGGGGGAGTGAGAGGGAGAGGGAGAAGGGATATGTCAGCTCATAACCATCCATAATTCTAGTCCCCAGGAAGGGATTGAACCCTTCCCTTTTCTGGTCTCTGTAGGCATGTATATACACATACATACATACATACATCTCAGTGATATACATAAAGTAAAAATAAACCTTTCTTTTAAGTATGTACAGTGGAATTACTATGTAGTACTTAGAAGTAAGCACTACTCCTACCTAAAACAACACAGATGAGTCTCACAGAATCTTGTGGTGCAAGTGTCAGAAATTACGTGAGATGTGCTTCATAAAAAATAGTTTAAGAGGACAGATAGCCATATAAGAATGTATTGATTTAACAAATATATTTGCCACAAACAATTCATATACTACATATTATTGTGATAGAGAAGTCAATTTTGCCATTGGGGTTCTTGGTTTCAATAACAGATTTAATAGTGGACTCAAATGGAGGGAAACACGGGGACAGTTTTATTTGAGCTTGAGAGAAACACTGCAAGGCAGACAAGCTGTAAAGTCTCAGTTGCCACCATTTGGAGAAGAATGTGGAGAAGAAGGGGAAAGGCCACACTGGATAGCTGGCCTGGAGGTCACATACCTGGAGAACAAACAACCACATAGTACTGCTTCTTTACAGCATGTGCACATATAAGTGAAAGGTGATTACAAATTGGTCAAATGAACAGAGAGTAGCGGCTAAGTAATAGAAATACACAAAAGCTACAACTAATTCTGAGGGATGTTAAATACTGCATTCAAAAGGAATGAATAGGAACATATAAATAAGAACAAAAGTTTTGACAGGTTGTGGTGCCCCACATCTTTAATCCCAGCACTTGGGAAGCAGAAGCAAGCAGATCTCTGAGTTCAAGGCTAGCCATCAACAGAGTAAGTTCTAGGACAGCTAGGGCTAAACAGAGAAACCTCGTCTTGAAAAACAAAACAAAAACTTAAATAATTTTAGCCCAGCATAACTAATTAATGCATAGACCATAGTGATAAAGGTACTATTTCGTTATTGCTTTCTATGACTTCATGTGTTTTTCTGTGAGTTTAAAATGCACATTTTGAAACAGCATGGTGTATTCTCTCTGTCCTGTGGCTATATTTCATATTTTTATGCTGAAATCATGAAGTTATGAGATGTTTCTTTAAAAAAAAACCCTAAAATATTACCTCCTTTAGGACTAGTCAGTAGCTCTTTGGCAGTATCAAATGCCTAAGGGAAATAATTTTCTATCTGAAAGACTAGGTGGAGATGAATGTCTGCCATTTCACAGCTCATTATCTTGAAATGGTTCCTCCAAAAGCATAAAATATCCAGAGTCCTATGAGTACTTATCTCGTATGGGGCTTTCCCCAGAAAACATTAGTTATGCTGTGCTGTTCTTCTTTGAAAGCCTCTTAATGTCAAAATGAATTTCTTGTCATACAAAAATAAAAGCCAGTTTATAGCAATGAAAATAATTATTTTCTTATAATATTCAATGAAAGCATCACCTGTTCAGGGACAACAGATTTAGTAAACTAATAGAAAGAATAAAAGTTACATGTAGTAGATGAGCCATTTTGCATGGAGTGAATTGTTTTGGGAACTAGAAATATATTCTAAAGCATACACTTAACACAAAACTTTATTATCTAGTTCTTTTAGAAATGGTTTTGAAACACATTTTACACCATATTTTTGAACACTGAAAGTATCACTGAGGGACCATTCAAATGTTTTTAACTATTAGTTTCTAGAGTAATTAATTTTCCTTTATCCCTTTGCTTGAATATCAGCTATTAGATTTAGGACTAGGAGTTATAATTCAAAGATTCTTTTCACATTTGACTTCCTGACTGTGACTTGGGTGCTTAATGTTCTACATAAGTAGGATCCTGGGAATTCATCTGACTCTTATTTTGAGAATGCTTGTTTTCCAATTGTGAGAGCCTAACACAGTTGTTAACTGTCTAAAAAGTCAGGCTATACACCATTATTGTTTTTTAAATGTTGTGTTCTCTCATCTTTCATAGGGTGTGTGGGGGAAACAAAACAGAACAATGTAAGCAAATCAAATTGGAATCTATGGTGCTGTATGAGTCCCATCCTTGAAGAGAAATCAATGTAAATATGTTCAAACTACAGTGTGCCAGATGATGTGGGAATTATGGGTTATTATGTGAAAGAACAAGGTACAGGAATGGAGCCCTGTAATGAGCACAGTAAAAAAAAATGCCTTTTAGAAATGTAAAAATAGCCAAGTCACGATCCCCTCTGCACACAAGGCTGCACCTGATAACCAGAACCCAGTGACATCACTCACTCAAGATAAGTAGACACAGTCTCAGAAACCCATAATGCCCAATGGACAGTTTATAAGCAGAGACCAAGAGCAATGTTCTGCTCTGCACATTTGGAGAGATGCCTCTGTGATATGTTTTGTGGCTAGAGAACTCCTACCCCAGGACCCTGACTTTCAAATCAAAGACTTCTGTTAGAGATTGGACATGACTTTCAGCTAAGATATGTCACACAGGTGAGCAACTTTGGGGAGATAGGCTTAGGAACATAGTTAAGAATTTAGAATGTGAACTTTGTGTGATAACCTACAGCATAATAAAATACAACTTTTGTTATGCTATGAGTATCTACCGTCTTGTCTGCAACAGTTGACATAACAGAATTTTAGATGATTCTTAGAAAAGGTGAAACTAAGGGGGGGGGACTTGCTATTCTAAAGACACTTCTCCCCAGGGAGAAGGGTGAATTCTTGACTGCAAGACTTCCACAAAGGCACAGGCTTCTGTCCTAAGACCAGAGATGTTCAAAAGAAGGAAGAAACAAGAATCCTGTGGCATGAAGGCATGAAGGCACCAGCTTCTGCCTGAAGACCAGTAGTGGGAGCAGAGTTAACACTGGATAGCCAAGAGAAGGACGAAGCTTCAACCTGAAAGGCTGGTCATAAATCAGGCCTCCTCTACCAGTAACCTAAATTGGTACATTAGAAAAAGAGAAGCCAATTCCTCTATTACTTGGCCAACAAATTGACAAGATGCAGAGACTAATAAGAGAAATCTCAAAAACATGAAAGCAAAGAACAAGAACTGTCCCAGCAGTAGATGCTACAGAACTTATTATCACTTGGCACAACAAAAGTTCTCTAGGCTCAAGAAGGAAATTACATTTGGTATTCCGTTGTCCATATCAATGGTATTTGAGCCCTTGCTAAAGAAAGCAGAGACTTAAAAGGTTTCCTGGATTCTTTTTTTTAGTTATTTTTATTTAAATTTAAAAAATCTTATTTTACATACCAGTTCCAGTTCTCTCTCCCTCTGGCCCTCCCATTCCCCCCACCATCCCCTCATCCCACCCCCATCCACTCCTCAGGGAGCTTGAGGCATTTCATGGGAGATCATCAAAGTCTATCATATTATTTGGGGCAGGAATAAGCCCCTCCCCACTGTATCTAGTCTGAGAGAGTATCCCTCCATAGGGAATGGGCTCCTAAAGTCCACTCGTGCACTAGGGATGAATACTGATTCCACTGCCAGAGGCCGAATAGACTGCCCAACCCTCCCAACTGACACCCACGTTCAGAGGGCCTGGTTCAGTCTTATGCTGATTCTCCAGTTGTCAGTCTGCAGTCTTTGAACTCCCACTTGCTCACATTAGCTGTTTTTATGGGTTTCCCCAGCATGATCTTGACTTGACCCATTTGTCCATAACCTTCAAAGTATAACTAATCTGATCCTCTAAACCTGGCTATTGCATGAGATTTATTCTGGATCATTCATAGACTCCATTCTGTCAGGTCCCACTGCTTTTGAAACAGTAACAATTTGAGAAGGAACATTGATGTGAAAAATGGCCACATAACAATTGGCAGGGGAAGTTTCAAAGGACTTTACTGTCTTCCTTTTTTTTTTTTTTAGCAATCCTGAGTTTTTTGTGAAATTTACCAAAACAATAAGCACAGTTAAATTTTATGTCTCTTTCTTGAGATTCATCACACACAAATATCCCATATGTTCAACTGGAACTGTCCTTTAAATATAATTCCCCTCATTTGCAAAAATTTCCCACAAATATATCTTGTCTACCATATCCTTATTTACAGGTATTTAGTCCACTGTACCTCAGTCACAGTTAAGTGCTTGGAATTAGGCAAAGAAAAACAAATTATACCCTCTGGGACCTGTGTTTCATCTAAAGAGATTAAACATAAATAATATATGTATTATGCTGCAAGAAAGGTTAAGATGTTTTAAATCAGCAACAAAAGCTAATCAGATATATTAAAGAAAAACATGGAAAGAATAATTTCTAAGTGAAATTTATTGTCAAATAGATTTAAACCTAAAAATATTGAAGAAAAAATTATTATATAAGGATATTATGTATTTTTATGTGTTATGTATTATGTATTTTTACCAGTCTTTGCTAAATATGTACCTATGTGGCGCTGAGAAGAAAGTATATTGTTTTGTATTTGGATGGAATGTTCTATAGATATCTGTTAAGTCCAATTGCACCATAACTTCTATTAATTCTTTTGTTTCTTTTGTTTCTTCTTAAGTTTCTGTCTGGTATTCCGGTCTAATGGTCAGAGTGGGGTGTTGAAATCTCCCACTATAAGTGTGTGTGGTTTTATGTGTGATTTGAGTTTTAGTAATGCTTCTTTTACAAATGTGGATGCCTTTGTATTTGGGGCATAAGTGTTCAGAAATGAGATGTTATCTTGATGGATTTCTCCTGTGATGAGTAGGAAGTGACCTTCTTCATCTCTTTTGACTGATTTTAGTTTAAAGTCAAATTTATTGGATATTAGAATTGCTATTCCCACTTGTTTCTTGGGTCCATTTGATTGGAAGATCTTTCCCCAACCTTTAATTCTGAGGTACCGTCTGTCTTTGAGGTTGAGGTGAGTTTCTTGTATGCAGCAGAAGATGTTGATGGATATTAATGAACATTGATTATTGTTCATTCTTGTTTGTTTTTTATTTGGTGATGGTGGTGAGATTATGTGTGGGATTCTGTCCATTTTTCCTTTTGCCTGTTGGTGTGTTGGGATTATCTATTGCCTATGTTTTTCTAGTTGTAGTTAACTTCCTTGGGTTGCAGTTTACCCTCCAGTACTTTCTGTAGGGCTGGATTTGTGGATATGTATTGTTTGAATCTGGTTTTGTCATGGAATATCTTCTTTTCTCCATCTATAATGATTGAAAGCTTTACTGGGTATAGTAGT